ATGCTTAAAAATGTGTTTGATGTTTTTCGAATTTAAATCAAAATGAAAATGGAAGGCAGTTAAATAATGTATGTAAATGAGAAGCTATGGATTAAAACAAAGAGGACATAGTGTAGGAGTAAATGATGGAACATATTTAGCACGAAGTGGACATCGAAGTGGAGAGGCGAAGGGCTGATGCCCAGGAGACCGGCGGTACGGGGTACCGACGGTTGGGCGGCCGGTGACAGGGCGGGCCGGGCCGCCCCGCGGCCAGACGATCGGCCGTGGCGCGCGGGTTCGCCCGGGCACGGGGAACCGGGAGGCGGCCCGGCGAGGCCGTGCACACCGGCGCAGGCCACGGCGAGGAGGAGGGGTGCGGGGTACTGACGTTGTGCGGGTTGAAGTGCGGGCCGGCCGCCTTGCAGTCGTCGGCCGTGTCGGGGTCGCGGTGCACGTGGAAGCCGTGGCGCCCGGGGCTGAGGCCGTACACCGTGCCGGTCACGCGCACGCCCCCGCCCGGCGCCGCCTGCGTCAGCCGCAGCTCCCCGGACACTGCAACAGCACGCGCACATGCTCGCTCTTTGCCCCTCAGCCGCACGCACGCAGGCATGCAGCGGGAGGGCACTGCTAGAAATGCACTTCTTTAATTAGCTATTCCTCCTCAGCTGCGCTTGCGGAGAAACAGCTCATAAACATGAATAAAATATATTTAACATAGTATATTATGCAACTTGTCCATCATGTTAAGCTTTATTGCATAGGTAGCTGTTTTCAAAATAAGCGACCTTAGGGGCGAGTTTTTAAATTTGTATGAATACAATAAAGCAAGGTTATAAAATATCTTCCAGGCATTTTAAATAACGCATGTTAACTAATAATTGCCCAAACTCTCCATTCGCAGTAGTTTTAATTAAGAATAAGTTAAATGTAAGTGGTTTATTTAAGACGGACACAAATTTAATCGGCTACAGCGAATAGTATATTACGGAAAAAGGATTAATTTCCCCCCTCTCCAGAGTGACTGGAGAGAGAAAGAAAAATCAACATTATAAAATAAAATGCTTATGTTATTTCTTGTATTACACATTGCATTATACATTTATAATAGTATCAATGTTTTTAAGCAACTTTCTTATGACGGCACGGGTATTTGACATGTGTGCGAAAAACTCTTGTTGGCTGTTGGGTATACCGCTACTTCCCCACGTTTCTCTCGATTCAATTGGCTGAAAATGTATGATGACCTTCTTATTCTACCTTAAACGGCAAATGCTTCGTAATCTGAGCCATACAATTTCATTTTATGAACTATTTCTTGTAACGAAATAGGTCGTTTGCAATGCTGGAATAAAAAAAAGTAACTTATTTTTTTTCTGGGCTGTGTACTAGTTTTGTGTCAAGTGTCATACTCATTTCGGAATATACGTTCATTGTGTCTACAGCCTACCTTATAGCTTACGGAGGATTTCTGATCCCAGAGGTGGTCACCTACTTTTTTAGTCGTAGTTCTGAAAACACTTCAGGCTCTCAAAGACGCACCGACAGGCTGGCATCTGAATGTGCCACAACGCATTGCCCTAGAAAAGCATCTCCCTATTAATCTGGGTGGGATCGCTTCTCCAGCCGAAGCTTGCGATCTCTCTTGGTTAGTACCGGGATCATACGCTATTCTTCTACGTCGGGACAAGACACTCTTCAGTTTTTCCTGACGGGGGTTCACTTCCATGTCGAATGCAGGAACCAACTGGTGGCTTCCCGAACTCATTAGATCTAGGAGGACGGAGACACCACCCGTCTCTTCACTGCACCGACGATGTAAGTCCCACAGAGATACTGAGGCAACAGACGGGATTTCCCATTTCACCGGCAGGGGTTTTGTATATGGAACTGTGTCATGATCCAGCTCCCTGATACGTGAGTAGAGAGGGGTGAATGATAACGGATGATGGATAATTGAAGAATGATAACGGGTGATAGTTCAGTTGCGTTCCATGAGGAATGAGGGCATGTTGGAATGAGGGCAACCACGTTACGTCCTCGTGGTGAAATGTGATTCCGCGGGGAAGAACCTATTGAATCCGGACGCGGTTCTACAGCTCTGCGACCCCCGGTTTGGCAAATAGGATTTGCTTGACTAGACACAGCATTTAATCAGAATTCTGTCGTTATGCCTTTATCTTAAAAAGGGAACACTTTCCTACATGTAATACTGTTTTGAGATGATATTTAATTTCTGCGAGTAGACATAATATATTGCCATCAGACTAAAGAATATTATCACAACGGTCCCTATTATAATGTAGACTGGTTAAATATTGCCAAATTTTAACCGACATGATCTTTTTACGTCTTCTACGAAGTAAGTTATTGCTATTACTATATTGTAATGAACTTGAAAGTTACTTTTTTCTCTTCTTGCTACATAATTGTTGAATAATAATTGCAACAATAATAATTATTATTACTTTATGGTATTATACGTATTACATCCAAAGAAAAGTGAATATGTGAAGTATATAAAATGTGATAGATAATGTTGCGGTCACAAATTATCGGTTTTCGAAGCAAGTACTTGCCAGTACATTGGTGTCTGATTTGAAGACTACGATGTTCAAAGTAAATGACTGTTAATTGGGAATAAACATTTTTAGAGTATATTCATCCTGGGTATTTGGACAAACACTGAGCACTAGTGAAACTATGTGCAAAGGAGGGACGTTTGCCTACTGAGTGGTGTATTCATTGTCAACATTTTGTATTTAATTTTGGAATTGTATGATGAGATTTGATCACACATTTTTGTTACTGTTTTCTTGCGCTTTATCATGTCTGTCTCTCCTTCACGTTCTTCTACTTTTAATCGTTATTATTACGACGGCACAGGATCCGTTGGGAACCCAGCCAACTGAGAATCTCCAACTACCAGTACATGTAAAAGATATACTGCGCCATTTATGTTGTGCTAGGCTTATGCAACAAGACTAATGATACAGTCTCGTTTTACAATAGCAGATTGAATGGGTACTTTTTCTCTGTCGGGGGAGGTGCTGCCTGAATAAAATGACCAACTACAAATACCTGCGAATGTTAACCATGCATTTGAGGTCTACGTGTCAATTTTAATTCAAAGATAAGGTACAAAAGAGTTCAATACACATTTTCAAGAAAAAAACAACAAGCATTTGTAATCACTTATTTAATGAAATGTGATTTTTATATGAATATTATTTAGATTGTTGAGATTTTATGCTACATATCACTAATGTGAATATTTACCATTATTAGTGTCAGAATAATCAAGCTGCTGAAATAGTATATTCCAGGTAAAAAAGTAGTGGACATGGGTTGTTTTAGAGCGTGCATTCGAAAACGGCGGGCAGTGGAGAGCGAAGGCGCGATGGCGAGGCGAGCGAACGACTAGACTCTCTCGCTCTCCCGCGTCCCGAGAGAAGCTCTTGGCTCTAATTTATATGAAGTTTTCCGTTATTGTCGCGCGAAGCGGCAGTAACAGGCGCACATGTGACGTCCGCAGTGTTGGCGAGATCTCAAGCGCTGCCCAGCAGCTGCCATCTCGCTTTCTTTCCTCCGCTTTTGACAGCCATCGTTGTGTCATCCACCTTTGATACTTCGGTCCATCTCTGCCCCCGCGCTGCCGTTCTCCCTCTTACTAAACGTTCCTGCCATATCTCCCAAAACCTTCCCCCATCATTTCGTTTTTTAGAATTTCCTTCTCGTTGATTTTCTATATATTGAACAATATGTTTTTTAAACATTTTTCTCCTCTCATTTTGCTCTTGCTATCTTATTCGTTCTATTTCTATTTCTTCCTTTTTCCGTTCATACTTCACCTCACCATTTCCACTTCTGTGTGTCCCGTTATTCCGACACTCTTTTAACGCCTTGCTGTATAATTTGTATGATATTATAATACCTTATCGTGATTTTCACAGTTTATTTTCATTCATATCTTTACATTTTCATAGACGTAACTCTTCTTTAGTTATTGAAGAAATTTATTCTTATAATTTCCCTTATTTTAATTTTTAGAAGAGATGATTCAGAAAGTAAAGTATCAGGTTTGAGTTTCACAGAAAAGGGAAGTATTTATGTTTTCTAAAACTTTATTTACAACTCTCATTAATTTAAGTAAATTCATTTTGAAATCGAAATGTTGTGACGAAATGTTGTGACATGAATTAATATTTAAGTTGAACCAACAGCCATTAATTTTAAATACATAATTTTGTATTTATTACTGCTTTATCTGTTTTTAACATATGTACGCAATCAGTTGATTTCGAATTGTGAATAAAATTTATTCGTGTTGATCACTGATGAGATCAAAGGCTAAGAATAGGCATCTTCCAAACCTGGTAGAGCACATAACATCTATGAAGTTCGAAAGCTTGATTTGAGAGTTGATTATTACCGGCAAAGGTTGCGCAACTGATGTCAGTGCAGTGCTTCTGACCAGGAGGTCCTGGGGTTAGAGCCCCGACGGCGGCAGGATTTTGGACACTATCTTGTCCGCTAGGACGACTTCGGCCGCTCTCTGGAGGAGAATTCTAGCTGTTGTGTGCTCTGATCAGTAGGTTTCTCCGATCAACACCAGGCGAATGCCGGAGCAGTACCGTAACAAACTGGCCACGGACCACGCGCGATCTTTCCTTCCCAAACCTTGTCCTATCCTCACTCCATATACACACTTACACTCGCTTGCACTACTCTACTGTTCATGCCGGTCGGGATCTTAGAGCTTGTCCCGGTTGCGGCGGAGCGATGCTGGTGGGAGACACCTGGTTGTGGAAAAATCCCTGTAGGCAAACCTAGGTCGGCGCCGGATCTCTTCATCCAGCGGGGGAAGATCACAGCCACCTTCCGCAAGACAAATACATGCACTACACTTACGTCACTGATGACCTTGGCACCCATAATCACTCGAGTCACTAATCAGTCGAGTCACTAAACACGAGTAGTTAATTAATTATTCACTTATTAGTATTTATGTAAGAACTGTATTATTGTATTTCGAATTAAAGTCTTAACCAATTGCTGCATAGCAGAAAATTGCTATTTTTGTTAGTAATGCGTAAATCACTATCCAATATGTGAAGTCAATAGACACTTAGTATGATCAAGATCAACAACTTTATTGTGTTGCGTGTTGTTAGATTTTATGCCTGTGGTAGAAAAAACGTCTTGTAGACCAGTCGAGTTGTTTGTTCGTTAAACGATAAGAACGAAGAACACCGCACAGCGAAAATTGCTTACAGTTACTTCGTGCTGTGCTAGCAGCTTTCTTTACAATCAAGTGAACCGAAGCAGTTTCCCCTCAACGTGTCTTCGCCGAGTGCATTCTCTTCGCGCTGCGGGGGAGTGGTCGGTGCGGGCGGGCTTGAAAATCGCCGCGTGTTGCCGAAGTTGTCGCGGGTGCCAAATGGGGTACCGTCCCGAGTCTTTTGAGTCGTTTTTCGATAGTCCCCCCCCCCCCCGATGTTCCCGAAGTGAGATGGCGAACGCGGCGTCGCCGCTGCCTCTTCCAGGTAGAAGCGCCCGGGGGATCGCTGCCAATGAAAATGTTTCTCATTCGCTGTGTCAACGCGCCTCCCTTGTTTCTGGGCCACCTGAGTATCCTCGCGCGGTGTTTGTTGGCTGGCGAAGCGTGAAGACGCTGCTGGGAGGTGGTCGCTTGCAAAAAAAGGAAGGATTTGTGTTCTCTAGCAGCAATTGTGCAAGCGGTACCGCGTAACCTAAGAGGCGGTGCTTGTTTTATGGACTGAGAGATTCTTTGATATTTTTCATTTATGATATATTTTGCATGGGAATTTTCGCTCAATTACGGCCTATTCCAATTATTTTAATTGCAGCCCAGTTTTCTTATTTTTTATTACTACAGAAGAACTACTGCACACATTTATTCCTGCAGATGTGAACTGATAATCATATATTGGGCAAATATATTTACACAGTACAGTTTTCTTATTTTTATTGATATTTCAAATGATGTTGCAAAGCAACATTGAAATATACCTAAAATTATGAGGATTGAAAAAAATCTAACGAAAATGTGTTGAAAATTTGAGAATGGTAACTTTTTAGAAAAGTATCCAATTATTTCGATTCGTAGCGTTGGGTAATATTTACAAAAGTATAATGAAAGTATCTGTTTAATATTCAACTGTTTTTTTTAGTATACAATTTTAAACTGATTGATAATGTGTTAGTGTCTCTTTCAAATTTTCTAATTTTTAATCACGCATACTTTATAGATCTTATTCTAGTTAAAATTAATCTATAGTTTTCTTTCACTGTAAGTTGAATCTTAATTTCAGGATGGAGCCCATATTTGAGTTACTGAGCAAACTAATGGTAGTTTTCCTCTATTAGCCATTAATATTACCATTAGCCTATATATTTATCTAATATAAACTGTAAAATTCACTATAATATTTGGACAACATTCTGAATCTATTGACAGAGCCGTGCATAATTTTTTGGCGAGGACACGTCCACGTACCCGAGTTGCCGGTGGATGCGACGAGCAGACACTCTGCCTCCTGAGGAAAGCCGTCTCCGTAGCCGGGGGCCGGGTACGGGTACGGGTAAGGCGGCACGGGCCCTTGCACCTGGTTCTGGTGGTTGAAATGCTCCGACGGGCCTGGCCGATGTGGTTGTGGAGGCGGGTTGTAATAGTAACCTTCGTGGTCTTGAGGCTGCGGTGGTCCTTGGACTACCTGCGAACAAGTCATCAAGCCTAAACACTGGGCATGTGGAATCAATTTGATATGAAATATGTGAGACATGTGTCTTTATTGGAAAACGGAGATATAAAAATATACTATGTAAAATAATTGAAAATATTGTCTGAATGTTTAGGTAAAGTGATCATAGATATAATTAGGAATAAATGAAAGTTTATTGCAGCAATATAGTAAAATACGTATTGTAATCATATCGTTTGTAAGGGTTTCAAAGAAATACATTATTAATCTTCCTGAATATAGAACATATACATTCAAAATTATTACTTATTTTCTCTAGTTATAATATTTGAGGACGAATAAACATGTATTGAACGGATAACGATATTGATTGAACCATAAGATCATAACGCATACAGTCACCCCAATTCATTATTAAATATGAATCATAGAGTTATTATTATCAGCGTCGAAAAAATTGTTTAATTTGTTTTTCAAACAACTTTTTTCTGTATGAATATTCATAGTATTATATCTGTACTGGAAGGAAATATGATGGCCCCTGCTTAAAGATATAAAAGTTTTTCTTACCTGCGGAGGATATACGTATCCAATGCTAGGTTGCAGAAGTACCACATGGCCTGCAGAAAAGGCGCAGAAGCTCAGAACAACAGCCCTAAAACAGACAATTAGGCGCACGTTGTAGCGTCAAAAGCAACAAAAATTACATTATTCATTCTTAGAGAGAAGGAACAAATTCTATACTTAAAAATTGATAATTTATATCATAAAAGAAAATTACAAAACATCAAATGCACAATTCTGAATAAATATGAAAGTTAATTCATCATTGAAGCAAAATTCATTGGAAAAAATTATGTCTTTTAACAATTCACGGATTTACAATCTGCATGTAAATAATGATAGAACTTGATTTTCCTTAATTAATTCTAATAATCAACCTGAAAATTCAACTTTTACCATCCTCTTTTATTATACAGCACAAACATTTAATTTCCAAATTCATTATTTATACAACTTTTATTGTCTATTTTGAAATCGGAACAAAATGCAATTGCAATTAATATATTTTTAGATGAATCTGCTAAAAGTTTAGAGAATTGATTGTAATTGCGAGCATCGAACCTTGACTTTAGTACCTTTCTTCAGTCACAAGTTAATATGATATCGCCATTAAAAAATAAAAACAGGAGGTGTTCTGGAACGTCAGTACATATGTACTATTGTTCCAGAACAATGGAGTTTTACGAATAAATATTTATTCCTACAACAATAGTTCAGTTATTGCCATGTAAACCTATGAAAATGTTTATTAGTTTCAGATGTGGCGGATCTCATAACGGACTATTCTCTTGATCTGAGCCAAAGTAGCTCCATAAGTTTTTAAAAGCAAAGTTACTGTATGATTATTTATAAAATTGTTATAACACTGTTCGTTGATTAAATATATTAATACAACATAGTTCTTGAAATTTGTTTATGATTACAAGAAAAAACATGTACAATTTTAAACATTGTGTGATGAATGTGTAATATCTGAAGGTAGAGAAATCCGATTAATGTTAACTCGAACATGCCGAATGTAGTGGATGGGAATTCAAAGGACACATTTTTTAGAAAAGTGACAGGGTGATTGAAATGAGAGCGTACAGTTTAAACAACATTCTAATGACCTGAAACGATCACATTTGGGAGCAGCGAATAATGTTAAAGTGACCACTAGACCCAGAATAAACTTACGACCCTCTTGCTCCCAGTTTTCTTGCGAGAGTGGATTTCGCTCTCACAAGTCTAGCACTCTGGCGATCAGCCGTGCACATGAAGTGACAAGTTGAATAACATTCGAGGAACGTGTATGTGGCAGGCGGTAATAACAATCAGCGGATGGTTTCCATTACTGAAGTAGGCGGCGGAGGCGGCAAATTCTACCGGCACCAGCCGCCCGGCGCTGTGCGATGCTCAGCTGTTTGTCGTGTCGACTCGTCTGGCACGCCTCTCCACTCCTCGCTTTGATCTGCATCTCAACCGCTGTACTTTCCACTCCACTCCACTTGCTCGGGAAATTAGGCGAGTTTGTTTCAAATCGTATTAAAACCATTTAGCGAAAAGTTTTGGAAGTAGTAACCTTCTTAAATTTAAAACAGTTATAGTACTCATAACCGAGCGAAGTGCCTTAGTGCGTAGTGCGCTGACTTCGCAATCGGGAGGTCCGATTCTATATCCGGGTCGGCCATGCTGACCGGGTTTTTTGTGGTTTTCGTCGGTCATAAGACGAATGCTTTATGGTTCAAAATGGCCACTATCACTTGTCACCTCACCTCACCTCTCATCATCATCCTATCACCTCATGCACCACTCATCACGCTATCACTTCATTCAGTATTCCTTACAAAAAGGAACTAGGTCCTTGTCCTTAATATGATATTACTTGGCTAATAATAATAGTAATAGTAATAAAAAAATACTCATACATATGTTTAAAGCCAGTTCCAATAGCCATGTTAAGTTTCTGTGGAGTCCACGGTTCTTGTGAAAGTTTACACTTTCTCTTTACCTCCACTTAGAAGCGTCTCGAATTCTCGATTTGGAAATTCATTCCCCCTCCCCCTCCTGTATGCATTGGCAATTGGCCCCTAACCACGCGTCCGCCTCGTCTCCGTCACTAGCCACCGTCGACCGCGACTCTCCCCCCCCCGCACCTCCACATCCCGCCTCCACCACACTGTCCACCCCTCTGCCCGCATCTCACAGCTACTGCCACATCGCGCCTCCGCCACACCGTCCCCGACGCCCCACCCCGTCCCGGCCGCTCGTCTCGCCAGCATCCGCGCCGGGCGCCAGATGTCCAGAAGGCGCAGAGGCTCTCGTCTTATCGGCGCCTCCGGAGAGCTCCACTTCGGCTATCTGCGCGCTGTGCGTAATGAGGCGCGCGCCTGCGACGCAGGAGGCGCTCGCGCCTCGGCCCACTCAAAGGAATCAAAGGCGAAGAAACGGCCATCTCTCTGGCACCAGCGCACGAACAAGAAACGCTTATTTTAGCGCTCACAAAACCTTAAATGCTGTCGAATTTACGCACTATTACTTGGCAACTAGAGCTGCTTTGACCGAGAAGTCGTTGGTTTAAATCTCGACGGTGGAGACGTTTTGACACCAGTGCGAGAGTTGGGTGGCCGCTTGCTGAGAATTCTAGTCGGCTGACTTCTCCGTGAGTTCCTTCGGTCCATTCGATTCGATCGGCTGCGGTGGCCCAAGAGCGATAACTCTTGTCACAACAGTGCTTCTGACCGGAAGGTTCCAGGGTTCAACTCCCAACGGAAGTATGATTTTCGACATTAGGTAGATAGCGATGTCTAATTCACCTGCTGCCTGGAGGACAATTCTATCATACAGTTACTGTGACCCGCAGTTTTCCGAGTTTCTTCCGATTTATCTCAGGTGAATGCCGGAGCCATGGACCGCGGGCGATCTTTTATTCTTCTTCCTTGTGTTATCTTCACCCGTTAATTACACCCACTGCATGCATTACTCTACCATAAGAGCAGGTCTTGAGCTTAGAGCTCGCTTTCAACGTCCTTAAGAACTAATGATAATAGAAGGTGATGCGTCCGGAAACACAAAATAATTAATGGGTCGATTCATTCGAGCTGGGATCCATAACAGGAATTAAATTTTCAGCATTCCAAGAAGATGACCCGTGTTCCGTAAAAATGCTTAATTTTACTGATCAAACTTCTTATTTTTTTGACTATCCTTGACTTGTGAATGAAATATTCACATTCCACCGTGTAATTGACGTGTTAAAAATCAAGATTTAAAACTTCAGAATATTTTTTGAATATGGTATTCGATGTCTTTCATCTCATCTCAAGTGAAAGTTCGTCTCTAAGATTCAATGTCTAGATCCCTCTCTTTGAGAATGTGTCGTGGAATTGATTGCTCGGGAATTTGAGAGAACTTATGTGTATTTAAAATACATTGTGTATCTTCGGTGATGAAATTTAGAGAAAGTACTCAAATTCGAGTTGACATGTTTCTAGTTTCTTGAATGTTAAAAACCAAGACATATTTACATGAATTCAATTTACTCTAAATTTTATAGTTTGAATAGAAAAAACTCATTATTAAATTCCTCAGGATACCTATAATACCTACAATGGGTTTTATTAGATAATTTGTACTATTCTTGTCATATCTTGCTTGTTGGAATATTTTATACTCATCGAAAGTAAACTACGTTAAAAGTTTTTTTAGTACTATTTGATCGGTTCTGTTTGGATTTGTTTTCACAAAATTAAAACGCGAAACCGAGGTATTAGGGCAATTAGAGCAATATAAAATACGGAGAACATAGATATATAGTCCACAGATATATTCCAGAACACTGAAATTAATCACAGTTCCATAAAACTATGTCGTGTACAATGTTTTAAAAATACAAGTTTTCGGGAAATTCTGAGTGGCATCGTTACTACGTAAAATATACCAAACCAAACTTCTCTAAAAATCACTTCAAATATTTTCTTTACCTTTTTGCTCGAAAACTGAAACGTTTGCTTAATAATACCGAACAAATCCGATTTTTTCAAAGTATGGAATTTGTTAATTTCCAAACGTTTAAGATTTTGACACCCTCTCATTTGAAATGAACAATGTGTTGGTCTAAATCATAACCTAATTTGGAAACAACTATCTGATTTGGGGTTGTGGATTCGATTGTACAGAATTGCCACGCGAGTTCTCTAATGATTTCAGATATAATCTGTTTTGGATCTTTTCAATTTTCTTATTAGTATCAATGTGAGCCAGGAAAAATCCTTGATTTTCCACTGTTCAGCAAGTTGAACATTGATTACAATAATTATTCATGGTTACATGCTGTCTGAAAATTCCAAACATGCAGGGCTTTTGTTTCCTGTGGTGCGGGGAAACCTTCCATTAATTTTATCACTGTAAAACAAAGTAACAAAGAACATTAACAAACATAATGAAGGATGATATACTATTCTGACGCTCAAAGGCACAAAAGGAAAGGAGAAGAAGACATTATGATAATTATTTGCCTTTTCTGTCGATGGCAAGTTACGTAATAACATATTTTCTACCACACGTGGCACACACTCGCCGAATTAGAGTGCGGCTCTCTCCATTGCAGTCGTCTGTTCTTTTAGTGTCCACCTAGATGAGTGGGATATTCAATTTCAAAGCGTGGTAGTTGACTCTTGCTTTTCCATCCAAGACAGATGATGGGATAATAAGAGATGAATGCTGATGAAAGATGAATTACGGATGGGGATGGTTGTTCACGTGAGGTGTGGAAAGCGAACACAACCACTTGGAGAAACAACCCCACACGCAGCTCCAATCCGCAGCTTTCATCTTGTCCTACACGCACACCGCTGCAAGGTGTCTCCAAAACGGCCGCACGTCCCGGACACCGCCCTTAAAACTGCTCTGGTTATAAAATCCAGGGCGCGGGGAACGTAAAACCCGCCTCCGGCTTCTTCCTGAGCCGCGCAGACCGCCGCTAGACGGCGCGCGAGGCTCATCGCCCGCGACAGCACGGGCGCCGTCCCCGTCCCCGACGACGGCGTCGTCGTCGTCTAGCCGCCGCCGCCTCCAGCGTGACGGGGGAGGCGGGGTAAATATAGTCTCACGGCGGTGGCGGTGGCGGCTACAGGGCGCCGGCCTTGTGACGTCATAACACTGCGCGGCGGCGGCGGTGGCGGAGGCAGCCTCGGCTCGCCGCCTGCCTTTGTGCGCCCGAAATACGCGTTCGATCGTGATGAATGGCGGCACACACAGAGGAAGAGCTATGACGTCACGGGCACGCAGTGAAATATCGGGAGAGCAAGTGGCAGAAAATAAGTTCTATATATACTATGTGGAGACGGCGGTGGAGCGGCGGTGGAAGCGGAGGCGAGGAGGAGGAGCAGGCGGCAAGGAAGAGAAGACAAAGAGGAAGCGGAGAGGGGGGGAAGTGGAGACGGCGGCAAAGAAAGAAGAGGAACGGAACGTTGGGGTCGTGGGAGGTGACATTTGAGACGGGAGGGTGTTGAGACAGTAAAAGAAGAACACTGTGGAAGTTCATAGTGGCGTGGGAGCGGACCGCTTGAGTTACAAAGAAGCTACTGATGAAATTTACTTAAAATGGAGGAAAAAAATTGAAATATAATCTTTGAATTCAAAATTGTACTGCCTCATGAAGAGAAAAATCGTCATTTTGCTATTAGATGCCATAACCGTGAGGTGCCATTTCAGTCCGGTGCAGATGCAGGACGTTAAGGCGCGATTTGTGATTAGGGTGGCGAAGCGAATTACTACTCGTACATGCGAATGAGAGAATAAATAAATCACCTTGTAGAGATGGACGCAATCGTTGGTACGGGAAAAGTGAAAATGAAAAATCTGTAAATAAGGTGTGAAAGAAATTGATTTGTATGTGCCACTAAATTAAAATAGAAATTAACTTTAAACCGGAACCCAACTTCGAATGTTTTTGACTACTGGTGCTGCGGAGTCGGTGCTGCGGATTATTCTTCAAAAGATTAATAGAACATTCTAATTATGTAGTTTATCGCAGAAGAAACATAACTTGTGCTTTGCCGGGAAGCTTGGTGTTAAGGGTCTAGGACTCACATTTACGAGTTCTACGCAGTGCATAACTTGTGTTGCCACACAATGTGTGTTGGAGTGTATCACATGTTGAAAATTGAATCTCCTTTTGCTGTTTCCATAAAATCGTAATCTGTTAAATTCTATTTTTTCGTCATAAATCTGTTAGAAGGATATCGAAGGGGGGAATTTCTTTATCCAGTAGAAGCGCACTTACAGGTTTTACGAAACTTAAAATCTTTTTTTTTTTGAATTCAGGCCTGTCCTAAAAAGCATATGCATGATATGATAACAATACTGTTATTGCAAATGAGTAGGAATACAGTTTTGGCAGATTTTATTGGCTGGCGGTTTCTGTATATATTATTGATAACGAACATAAACTGTTGGTAGCAGGAGGTATTGGTACGAGAGGTTAAGGCTCGAGGGAGTTTTCCATAGTGATGTAGACTTTTGTAGCGGCCGCAAGTTTTTACTACGGCGGCTTTGTGTCGACGCTAAGATTGTGAAAAGTGTGGGCGATTGCAACAGAAAGAATATAGGCGTTGTCTCGAGCTCAAAGAACGAGGTAATGGCTACGACGTCCGCTATTGGAAGGTGGGAGTCGACGAACCAGTGGAGTCAGGGAGGGTCAGTCGACGGACAGTCAGGGCCCTGACAGATCATCGGTGCGGGAGTGGCAGTGATAGCTGAGATGGGGCTGTGGCAGGAGCGGGGTGCGGGTGTGGGGCGCGGGGACGAGGGGGGGCAGGGGCAATGGCAGCTGCGGTAGCGACGTAGGTGGGGGTCTGTGCCCCTCTTGTTTGTTTGCTTCTTTCCCCGCTCGATCTGCTCGCCACGTGGAGAGTCTCTCCGTTTTCGCATCCTTCGGCTGCTCAGTGACAGCGG